CTCAGATTCATCACGTAGTTGAGAGAGTGACGAACATCACCCTCCAAGTGGCAAGGATGTCTCAGAACTCGGCTTCCCTCCACTGTTCCCTCCTATCCCTTAATTGTTCAACAGGGAAGTTTTATTGTTCTCTTCGCTTTAATTACTTTATTACCTCCATTGAGGACAATGTAGGATTTAGGTGTGGGGGGAGCAGTTATGGTGCTAGTGTCTTTCGTTCATTTTCTTTTTCTTTTTTTAGTGATTAGCTCGTATGGGATGCCAAGTTTGATGTTGGATTATTGCCTCTATTTCTAGTTTTGCCAAGTTTTAATAATAAAAGGGTATCAAGTTCATGTGGTTGAATCCAAAAACATCTCTTTGGTGAATATCGATGATTGTTTTACTCTTATAATTTTTGGTTAACTTTCCTAGGCATAGGGAATGATTATTGGCATTTTCATGTGAATTGGTCCGGTTATTAATTTTAGTTCTCCATGTTTGAAAATGAGGCTAACTGATGCAAGTTTTCTTTTGGTTCTTGTGTTATATTGAGTTTTTGTGATTATTTGGCTGTGAATAAGAGTTGACTGTACTCCGCTAGTATTTACTACCGAGTAACCGGGGATTTTTACCAAAAGTGTCGATTCCCGCGTCAAAAAGTAGTAATTGCTATGAGTACGTGGTCACGTGGCGATAGAAGCTGAGTAACCGGGCTCCTTCATCTGGCCAACGTTGGAGTTCGCGTCAAAAGGCTCTAATGGCTAGCGACTAAGTCTTTTGTTACTATTGAAAAAAAAAAGAGAAAAGTAGGAAAAAAAAATGTGAAAAAAAGTGAAGGTTGTGTTAGTGTGTAATAAAAGTCAGCTTGCCGAATTATGGATTTAATGTTGAGATTTTGGTTAATAGTTGGACCATTTGCTAATAAATGTTGTGCGTCATTTCTTTTTCTTAGATTAGTTAACCTGAAATTAGAGGAGTTTGTGGTTTAGAAGCTAACCGAAGTGATTTCTTGGATCTTGATCACCCATGCTTGATATATATTTTTCTTGGTATTTTGGCAATATGGTAGATGGAGCAATGACCATTGTCAAATATTGGTACTTGTTTGCTGTTCTCATGCTTGAGGACAAGCATGGTTTAGGTGTGGGGAAAATTGATAGGTTACAATTTTATCATTTATTTTATAATTAATTTCCCCTATTACCTGACTTGATGAGAATTAATTGCGGGATTCACTTTTAGTATTTTGCATTTATTTCAGGGAGTAGAACGAAAATATAATAACAGGTGCTAATTTGACAGAAAAGGAGTCCAGATGATAGAGCTTGTCCTAGGGCATTTTTGGAACAACAAAACGTGAGCCCTTATTGGGCAAATTGGGCCGAAGTCTTCATTTTTCCGCACAGGAGCCGCCGCAAGGAGCACTACTTTATATAGGAAAATTGCGCAGGAAAAAGGGGAGCTTCTTCTTCTCGTGCGGCGGACGCCGCACAGGAGCAGTAGGCTAATTAGAATAGGAATTGCGCAGATGAAGAGCACTGACTCTCTTCTTAGTTTTTTGTCCTTTAGCCTGGCTTTTGACTTGTCTCCTTTTTAGCTTTTAGTGGTAGTTTTCTCTTCATTCGTATGGAGCAGAAGCAAACAAACAATCAAGTATTTTGTAGCTTTTCTTTCTAGTCAGTGGTCAATCGAATTAAGTTTACCCAGTTTCCAATTGATGGCTGCGACTTTCTCTTCAATTTCCTGTGGATTTTGTTCATCGAATATGAACTAATTTCTTCATTCTAGTCAAGGAGCAACGAAGGCTCTGGTTCGCCTAAAAATTGTGAGATCGTTTTAATTTAATCTTTTCTTTTTATTTATTGGTATCCGCATATTTCTTGATTGCTATGCTTATGGTTATTTAATTAATTGATTGTCTTTGATCCAGATAATTAGTTGATTGGGTAATCTATTGTCAATTAGGGCATTAAATCCGTAATTGTTTAATTGTCCTAAAATAGTGACAACTGGCACGATTAGGTTTGTGTCAGGGGGATATGCGGGCTAATCTGAAATAACCCTGGTAGTGCGTTATTTGGTTAGAATAGGGCTGCTCTAATACGTAAGGCAATTGGGGAATTAAATCTTATGGGCGTATTTAGGATTATTTCTCAATTAGAGCAGTGATTAACGGGCGTACCTTGATCACCGACACAGTAAGGAGGGGTTGACTGCCATCGCTTGTTTGGTAGTTATAACCTATTTATTGATAAATAATTGGAATTGGCTTTGCATCGATGATCAATTAGGTGAATGATAGAGCCGTTATTTGGCACGTTTTGCATTGTCATCTTGTTCTAATTTTGGCTATTCATGGTGCTAAGAAAGGGAATTTCACTCATATTTGATATTTGTGTGAATTGTAGGTTGTTAGCATTAAAATGATATCGCGGGTTAAATTTCCAGAAGACTTTCCATTTCAGAGCGTGGCCACGCCTTAGAAGGTGGACGAAACCGAAAGCCGGGCTGCGGTCCACGTGAACCCAAAGCGTGGGATCAGAACTCTGGAGACAAAGCTTTGCTCCAGGCCTTTGTTCCAGACGTCTTTTTCTTTTCTACGTCTCTTGTGCGGCGGATATAAAAAGGGAAACAAGGAAGATTCAAGGGGCATCTACTTTTTAGGCTTAGTTTTCTTTTCCTAGGTTTGTCAGCAGTCAGACGCTTTTGACTGGGGTTTTTGGCTTTCTTCAGCCGCAACTTAGACTAGCTTAGGAGTTCACCTTTTCAATCTTTTGCTGTAGACGCCTTTGACGTTCGCTTTTGATTTGCTACAATTTTCCATCGCTGTTATCACTTTTCTTGACTCTGCTCCAGGAGCGATCGAATATAAGAAAATGAACCAAGGGAATTTCCCATTTGTTCCTTAGTTAATTCGCATCGCTCCGCTCCTTGGAATTAATTGATTGGATGTTTGCGTGGATGAAATCAATTAAATCGCGTGAGCTTGACATGATGAGGAGCGGCTAATTTTCTCCTCTACCCAAAGGGTGACGCGAGGGCGCGGTCCATCACACCTGTGAGATCTAATCAATCTTTAATTATTTCTTCCAATTTATTACTATTCGTGCATTTCCTGAATTAACTGTTCATGGGTATTTGATTAATTGAATATCAACGGCCGGGTATTTGATTTAATTTAATAGCCTACTGCCACGTTAATTAAATAGAATCCGTAATTGTTCATTTAGTTGACACCCCGTGGCAACCACCATAATTGGCTTTATGATGGGGAAATGCAAGATCTAATTTAAATAAACCCTCTTAGCGTATTTATTGGTTAGGGTTGGGTTCTTCTAGCTTTAATGCAACTGGGTAATTAAATTCCTACGGTCGTACCTAGGGTTGTTATCTGGTTAGAGAAGCAGTCAATGGTCGTACCTTGACTGTCGAAAAAGTAAGGAAGAGCTGGTTGTCAGAGCTTATTGATGGCTATAACCAATCTAGTGATAAATGGATGAAATATCTTTGCATCGATGATCATTTAATTGGACCGTGCCTGCGCAGTTGATCCTTTGGGTAGAACTTTTGTTAATTGCTATTTTCAGTGAATTGTGCTTTGTGAGTTAGTTTTGAATTTTGTTGGTTTTATTTTATTTTATTTTTATTTGCCTCCCATTGAAAATCCCCCAATTTCGTTCTACTAATTTGGAAAGAAATAATTTCCTACCTGCTCCCTGTGGAATCGACCCTACTTGCCATTGTACGCAAAATTAGTATTTTTATAGACAAGTCCGGTATATCGGATCAAGCAAACTCTTCGGGAACAGGGTGAATCAAGTAACCCATTGCAAACCTAGGGTCCCTGCTCCAGTACTTGGATTTGTTCTATAATTATTTAATTGACGTGGTAATTAGGACTTTTTAGTAATTATTATTGCACAGGTTCGGCACCTGTCAATTTTTAGCGCCGTTGCCGGGGAGTTGGCGTTTGGATTATTTGTTTCTTTTTAAATTCAGTTTTTTTTTATTTTATTCTTCTTGGTATTTTTGCTAGTTTATGCCCCGTTCTTCTCGCACAGGTGAATTGATATACGACGCTGAGGTTGAGAAGGCAGCACGTAAGCGAAGGCAAGAGACCAAGAGACGAAAAGATGGGCACTTATTTGCTGCAAACGAGTCAGCGGAAGACGAAGTAAGCATGGCCAACAACCAAACATTGAGGGAGCTAACTGCTCCGGAGCTGACTCACCAGCCCTTATGCATCACATTCCCCGCTTTGGCTGAGAATACCGCTTTCGAACTGAAGTCGGGGTTGATTCAACTCTTACCCTCTTTCCATGGTCTCTCTGGCGAAGAACCTCACAAGCACGTAAAGGAGTTCGAGGTGGTCTGCTCTAGTATGAAACCTCCTGGGGTCACTGAAGAGCAAATTAGACTGAGAGCCTTCCCGTTCTCTCTCAAAGATGCAGCTAAAGATTGGCTTTACTACCTACAAACAGGTTGTATTACCACGTGGGCACAGTTAAAAAAGAAGTTTTTGGAAAAATTCTTCCCTGCATCCCGGACTGCGAGTTTGAGGAAGGAGATCTGCGGCATTAAACAATATTCCGGTGAGTCCTTGTATGAATACTGGGAAAGGTTTAACAAGTTGTACACTAGATGCCCGCAGCATCAAATTAGTGAACAACTGTTAATCCAATACTTCTATGAAGGGCTCCAATCAACCGATAGGAGTATCATTGATGCTGCGAGTGGGGAAGCACTTGCAAACAAGACACCGAGGGAAGCGTGTGAGCTCATCGAAGCCATGGCAGAGAACTCCCAGCAATTTGGTTTCCGTGAGAGCAACCCTCCCCGTAAAGTCAACGAGGTAGAGACTTCATCCATACAGCAGCAACTGTCAGAATTGACGTCTGTTGTTAGACAATTGGCCATGAGAGACACGCCGCGAGCGAAGGTGTGTGGAATCTGCACTAGCATGGACCATTGCACAGACTCGTGCCCCATTTTGCAAGAGGACGGGCAGAACAGGTAACATGGCCGGAGGCGTGCCCGCGCCCCGCAGGCAGTACGACCCATACTCCAATACGTACAATCCGGGCTGGAGGGACCATCCCAATCTCAGTTATGGGAACAGGCAACAAAATGCATTTCTAAATCTTCCACCAGGATTCCACCAGCCATGGCAACCAAAATCGCAACCCTCGTCCTCCAACTCAGGAAGTTCTCTAGAGGACCTAGTCAAAAACCTGGCCACGACTACTACCAACCTAGCCACGACTACTATCCAGCTTCAACAGGAGATCAGATTCTTAGCCGCGAATACCGCGCAGCTCCAGCAGGACACCAAAGCTGACAAGAAGGACCAAGACGTTCGAATAAGCCAACTGGCAACTGCCATCAACCGCTTGGAGTCCCACGTTTATGGGAAACTGCCATCGCAACCCGAGGTAAATCCCAGGAATGTAAGTGCCATGACGCTGAGGAGTGGCAAGGAACTGGAAGGGCCTAAAGTGGAAAGTTCAAAAAGCAAAAGTGAAGAGGAGATAGAGAAGGAAATTGAAGAGGAAGGGAGTATTCGCAAGGATCCTAAGGTAACCTTCACTCCTCCGCCCACTATTAAATCTAATATAGCTCATTTTCCTTGCAGGTTAGAAAAGACAAAGAGGGCAGAAAAGGAAAAAGAAATCCTGGATGTGTTCCGCAAAATTCAAGTAAACATCCCCCTATTGGACGCGATCAAACAGGTACCCAAGTACGCAAAGTTCTTGAAAGACTTGTGCGTTAACAAAAGAAAGCTAAGGGGTGATGAAAGAGTGATGGTAGGAGAGAATGTATCAGCTGTACTACAAAGGAAACTCCCACCCAAATGCGGAGATCCAGGTATGTTTGCTATCCCTGTAAGATTGGTCATTCTAGTATCAAAAATGCCATGATAGATTTAGGAGCTTCTATTAATGTGATGCCTAAGTCAATCTATGATTCCCTAAATTTAGGACCTTTAAAAGAAACGGGGATAATAATTCAATTGGCTGATCGTACATGTGCTTATCCGGATGGGATAGTTGAGGATGTTTTAGTGCAAGTAGATGGATTAATTTTTTCTGCTGATTTTTATGTGCTTTACATGGATGATAGAAGTGCCCCAAATCCATCACCCATTATACTAGGAAGACCATTTTTGAGTACTGCCCAGACTAAAATTGATGTTAGTAAGGGTACTCTCACGATGGAATTTGATGGAGAAACAGTCCACTTTAATATTTTTGATACAATGAAACATCCTGTTAACTCTCATTCTGTGTTTGCTATGTATACCACTAATCCCTCTGTGCAAGAATTTTTAAGTTTGCTTATAGGGGTAAATTCAAGGTTGCTGCGAACAAGTCCTATAGGATGAAAGCAATTCATGAGGTAAAAATGGAGAGAAAATTTAGGAAAAAAGTTGCACTCAATGGCCATGTGGATCCTGGAGGAGGGCCACCAATTACAAGGAAAATTCAATTACATCCAGACTAAAGAGTGGTGCTATGTCTAGCCAAAGACATTAAAGAAAGGCGCTGCTTGGGAGGCAACCCAAGGATTACAATATTAGTTGTGATCATTTTTCCTTACTCTGATTTTCAGTTTTATTTTAATGTTTTGATGGTTTTTGTGGTGTTGGACAGAAGAGTAGGGGTTCCAAGGCGTGCCCACGCTTGCAAAAAAAAAAAAAATTCGTTTGGACATCATTTATGTTGTGGGCAGAAGAATGCTCTCCAAGGCGTGCCCACGCCTTCCAACCCCTCCGATAGCGAAAAAAAAAAAAAAAAAAAACTTTGACCGAGACCTTACTTTCCCATTCTTTCCTTGACTTTGTCCTCTCTAGTCTGGTCACCGTCCATGGAATTGAACAATACCTCTTCCAATTTCTTTGTTTTGTCCTGATTTCACTTTCTTCTTCCTTTTTCCTTGCTGTCCGCCGCCGCTTGCACAGCCCGCCATCCTCGCGCGCCCCTTTTTCCCTTCAGCACCGCGCGCCCGATCCGCTCCAGATCCGCTCGCGCGCGGCACAGGCCAGCAGCACGCATCAGCCCCGCGAGCGACAGCGCCAGCCCAGCGCGCGCCTAACAGCGCCGCGCCAGTCCCCGCTAGCCCCACTCAGCGCAGCAGCCACCCCTGCGCAGCCCAGCACCAACCCGCGCGTACAGACAGCAGCCGCGCGCGCACTCTCCATCGCGCCAGCCCCCTGCGCTTTCTCCAGTCGCGCGCCGCACAGCCCTGCTCGCCACCCCACGCACAACCTGCACCTGTCCGCCGCCGCATCCGCCGCCTCCTTAGGCTCCAGCCGCACCTTTTCAGTAGTCAGGGAAGTTCTCGCTCCCTCTACCCTTGCAAATTATTTTTTCAGGTTACATTGCGGACAATGTAGGTCTTAGGTGTGGGGGGAGTGGATTCCATTAGTTCTTTTCCATTAGTTCTTTTTCATTAGTTCTTTTTGCTTTGTTACTTTTAAGAAAAAAAAAAGAAATAAAAAAGAAAAGAAAAAACATTGTAATTAGTCGTCTTTTTGGTTATTTTTATGCTTGTTAGTGTTGGGGCATGTTGCTGTGATGAATGACATAATCAAAGTGAGTGGGTATGTGATCGTATATGCTGGCTGTGCATTTTGTTTCCCTTGGCAATGTCATCGAATGTTGAGTATACTGGAATTCACCCATTTTTGTAACTCTTGGGGAGCTTTTGAGCCTTATTTGAGCATATTATTCTTGTTTGCTCTATTTTGTTTGATTAAGTGGGTATCGCACATGGTTTGAACATTCTAGAACTTGCTATTTTGTACATGTCAATACTGCATTTTGATGAACTGGATGCATTTGAAATGATAAGGGCATCTAGGATTTAACCCTCTTCAGCTTTCTAAAAAAAAAAAAAAAAAAATCAAAGCCTCATTCTATACCCAATAGCGAACCAATTTGAGCTTTTGTCCTTCGTTTCTGGTTGATATCCGTGTTTGTTAACCCAAGACCTCTTTAAACTTTCTTGTTTATCCCTGTGTTGTCAAGGGATGTCTGAAATCCATCATTTGCGCAAAGCAAACGAATTTGGGGTTGAAAGTGCTGATAGATTAGGAGCTATATGATGCTATCTTTGTGTAAAGGAGGGGAAATTGGAAAAAAGGCCACTGACCAGAGGACTATGGACTACAAGGCGTGCCCACGCCTTGCGAGCAGTATGCAAAAAAAAAAAAAAAAAAAGAGAGAAATAGAAAATTTTGGGGCACTTGTACAGGGTGTACAGCAAATGGAAACTGCCTTGTTAGTGAAACTCCTCCGGTAAAGCACTGTGGTTATTGGTGAGTTTCGGACATTCTCTTGACACTTTACCCCCTATCTATACCCTCTTAACCCGCCTTTCACCTGAGCCCCGTTACAACCCTATTAAAGTTCCTTTGATTTATGTGTTTAGTTCATTTTTAAGGGGTGGAGATGTGATAAATGTGCAAGCCTATGGTAATGGCATTCCGTGATGTTGAATTGAGTGCTCCTATTATTCATATATATTCTTTGAATTACAACACGTCCGGTGTGTTCTGCCCTTGGTGATATTGTCAGGGACCCTAGATGCTTGTGTTAGTATAGACTACTGCATGGCCTCTGCTCTCTTGGTTGTACTTCTGAGCTTTGAAATGCTTGAGGGCAAGCATTGTCTAGGTGTGGGGGATTTGATAGAGCCGTTATTTGGCACGTTTTGCATTGTCATCTTGTTCTAATTTTGGCTATTCATGGTGCTAAGAAAGGGAATTTCACTCATATTTGATATTTGTGTGAATTGTAGGTGGTTAGCATTAAAATGATATCGCGGGTTAAATTTCCAGAAGACTTTCCATTTCAGAGCGTGGCCACGCCTTAGAAGGTGGACGAAACCGAAAGCCGGGCTGCGGTCCACGTGAACCCAAAGCGTGGGATCAGAACTCTGGAGACAAAGCTTTGCTCCAGGCCTTTGTTCCAGACGTCTTTTTCTTTTCTACGTCTCTTGTGCGGCGGATATAAAAAGGGAAACAAGGAAGATTCAAGGGGCATCTACTTTTTAGGCTTAGTTTTCTTTTCCTAGGTTTGTCAGCAGTCAGACGCTTTTGACTGGGGTTTTTGGCTTTCTTCAGCCGCAACTTAGACTAGCTTAGGAGTTCACCTTTTCAATCTTTTGCTGTAGACGCCTTTGACGTTCGCTTTTGATTTGCTACAATTTTCCATCGCTGTTATCGCTTTTCTTGACTCTGCTCCAGGAGCGATCGAATATAAGAAAATGAACCAAGGGAATTTCCCATTTGTTCCTTAGTTAATTCGCATCGCTCCGCTCCTTGGAATTAATTGATTGGATGTTTGCGTGGATGAAATCAGTTAAATCGCGTGAGCTTGACATGATGAGGAGCGGCTAATTTTCTCCTCTACCCAAAGGTTGACGCGAGGGCGCGGTCCATCACACCTGTGAGATCTAATCAATCTTTCATTATTTCTTCCAATTTATTACTATTCATGCATTTCCTGAATTAACTGTTCATGGGTATTTGATTAATTGAATATCAACGGCCGGGTATTTGATTTAATTTAATAGCCTACTGCCACGTTAATTAAATAGAATCCGTAATTGTTCATTTAGTTGACACCCCGTGGCAACCACCATAATTGGTTTTATGATGGGGAAATGCAAGATCTAATTTAAATAAACCCTCTTAGCGTGTTTATTGGTTAGGGTTGGGTTCTTCTAGCTTTAATGCAACTGGGTAATTAAATTCCTACGGTCGTACCTAGGGTTGTTATCTGGTTAGAGAAGCAGTCAATGGTCGTACCTTGACTGTCGAAAAAGTAAGGAAGAGCTGGTTGTCAGAGCTTATTGATGGCTATAACCAATCTAGTGATAAATGGATGAAATATCTTTGCATCGATGATCATTTAATTGGACCGTGCCTGCGCAGTTGATCCTTTGGGTAGAACTTTTGTTAATTGCTATTTTCAGTGAATTGTGCTTTGTGAGTTAGTTTTGAATTTTGTTGGTTTTATTTTATTTTATTTTTATTTGCCTCCCATTGAAAATCCCCCAATTTCGTTCTACTAATTTGGAAAGAAATAATTTCCTACCTGCTCCCTGTGGAATCGACCCTACTTGCCATTGTACGCAAAATTAGTATTTTTATAGACAAGTCCGGTATATCGGATCAAGCAAACTCTTCGGGAACAGGGTGAATCAAGTAACCCATTGCACACCTAGGGTCCCTGCTCCAGTACTTGGATTTGTTCTATAATTATTTAATTGATGTGGTAATTAGGACTTTTTAGTAATTATTATTGCACAGGTTCGGCACCTGTCAGTGAACCATTGCTGAAGTTATTTCTTGGCTAGACCCTTAATTATCACTCGTTTGATTTTAGTAATTTGTTATTTAATTTTTTGTAGTTTCTTAGATTTTATTTGAATTTCTTTGAGTGTCACCTTCTGCACAAAAACACCCCCCTTTGTCACTGTGAATTTGAAAAGAAACAATTACTCCCAATCCCTGTGGATTCGACCCTACTCACCGCTATCTACAGAATTTACTTTTAGTTTGAGCAGGTTTTATTATTGCATAGGTTTCGACACCCTGTCAAAGAGGTTGGTCAAGGTGATGATCTAGATAATTTTAGAAGGAAAAAGAGAGCCAAAAAGTCAGCCGCTTGGATCAATTTCAAAGATGTGGAAGTTGGGTTTGAAAAAACACTTTAGTCAGAGTGTTTGCATTGTAGAGCTAAATTCAAGAAAATCAAAACTGGTACAACTTCAAGTTTGTTAAGGCATCTTAAGAATTGTGCTGAGCGATTGAAGAAAGTTAAAAAAGCAGAGGCAATACAGCAAAAGATTAATTTTTCAGCCACAGATTCTAGCTCAGTTGCTCATTCCTACCTTTATACAGGCAAGTTTGATATGGCTGCCATGAGAGAAAGTGCCGCTGAGTGGGTGCTTATGCATGAGCATCTCTTTACAATTGTGGAGGAAGACGGCTTTAACATTTGAGTTTGAGTTTGTTTTTGAGGTGTAGGACATTTGAATTGAAAAATTGTGAAACAATTATGTATGTGAAGTTGTGGACATTTGTTTCTGATTTCATGCATGTATTATTGGACAATGAAGAACTTGTTTGTTGTTACTTTTAATTCATGTCTGAAATTATTAAATTCAAGTTTGCAAGGTATTGAATAGCTTAAAACGTGCTATTGGAGTCAGGTTAAATAAAGCTGGTTATTTTTAGTGACAGAAATTTTCGAGCTGAAATCGAGCCATTTCGAGCTCTTGTCGAGTTGAGTAGATCGAGCCTTATCGAGTCGAACTCGAGCCAACTTCTTACTTAGTCGAGTCGAGCTCGAGCTCAATTTTTTTGAACTCGACGAGCTCGAGCTCGAGCTCGAGTATACAGTAGTCGAGCCTGATTCGATAAATTCAATGTTCGATTCGATTCGATTCGACTCATTTGCACCCCTAGTCCTATCCGTATGCCTTGTATTCTCCTGTTGCCTCGTACCTTTAGCTTCCATCGCATAAATTCCTACTTTTATGATTTATCCCCGTATTTCATTGTATTTACATCCCCGCCATGTACTCATGCACGATTTTTGAATGATTTTCCAATTAGTCAGTCTTGCAAGCAATCATTCCATGCGGACAGGTATCGGACGGAACCGCATGTCTATGGTAGGCACGGTCAAAGGGGTGCCTACCATAAAGGTTTCCGCCAAGAGCCGCAAGAAAAAGAGCCGCAGCCTCTTGTCTTCTCCAATACAGGGTCTTGTCTTCTTGCTTTTTGTAACGAAAAAGAGCCGCAGCCTCGCTCGATCATTATTGAAATTTTCACTTACTTCAATAGCAAAGACTATTATGTCATCATTAGCTTTGAAAATTTTCACTTACTTCAATGGCAAAGACTGTTATGTCATTGTAAGACGTAGAAGTCGCCTCCAATTTCGCAAGAAAGTACAGGGTCTTGTCTTCTTGCTTTTTGTAACGATAAAGAGCCGCAGCCTCGATCGATCGTTAGTAAAGATTTTCCTTTGCCTCGTCTATTAAATTATTGTGATTGTTCTTATGGGTTATGATTTATTATCAATTTGGTCCATCACCTCCTACAAGTCTTGCTCTTATCGCATGCTTTGAAAATTTTCACTCACTTCAATAGCAAAAACTGGGACAGATCAAACAGATTCACGGGACTGATGCCCAAAAATATAAACAAATAACACATCCTTTCGTTTGAATTTGTTCTTGCTTGTAGATTTTTCGCTAATGATTTCTGATTCCAAAGAACTCGAACATGAGCATCATTAATTAAACTTGATCAAGAAAAATATGTTCTGGAATTGAGAATGCATCAAAGTGAAGCATTTTTTTCATGCCATCAAATAGCTGAACTTATTGACTATGTATTTTTCTATCAAAAAAAAAAAACTCTCTGTCCAAAATAGTCAAATGCAACAAATAAACATAAACAATGAAAATAGAAGTAATAAGTGGCCCAATATATTTACTGAGCATGTGATGCTAGGGTAAGAAATCTTACTTCAAGAGAGGAACGAATCAAAATTGCTATCTTTAATGTTCCTAAATTAACTATGTAGTTAAATTTTTCAAAGTTTATACAAAAACATTTTTCCTTTTTACATTAAGAGGATCGAGAATGGGGCTCCACCAATACTCTTGGTAGCTCAAACCTAAAATTTATCACTTACTAGTGGTGCATCTTACCAAGGAAACTGTATTTCTTTATCATATATGTAAACATAACTTAATTTTGAAGTAAAACACATATGACTGTAAGTGCAACTTAATTCTTAAGATGCTTTACTTGTTATTTGCACCTCAAATTTGAGTCACCAATGGATAGTTGAAATCCCACACTTGATCTTCTTCAGGGAAAAGAAAAAGAACGAAAATAAAATGAAAAGACAAAACAATTATTAAATGTTCAATAGGACCTATCCAACCGCTGCCATTTTTTCCCAAAAAAATTGTGTCAACGGTTAGATGAACAATCATTGCTATGGTATTATGTGTTCGGGACGAATGGGATTCTGACTTTTCAACAGCTTAGACTACATGGACATCAAGATCATTGATGTAAACTTGAAGTAAATGCTTATAGGGTCTACATGTGTAGTTTCCTTTCAATTTTTGTTTTTTCTAGATGGGATTAAGCTTGGTATTCGTCAAATCAGGCAGCGTTTAAATATTGAATTTGTCACCAGTCACAGTCCTAATAATGGTATTAGATAATTTTTTGGTTAATTATGTCCTCAACTATCATCATATATTGGTTAGTAATTTTTCAAGTAGAAAAAAATATAGCTTTCAGCTTATCCTACATGTTTTATGTTATTCCATAGTGTTTTTCTAACTTTTACCTATGTGTGACAAGAAATTGAATGGTTTATTCTTTTTAAGTTTTCTCTTTGAGAGATTTCTCCAAAATTACTTAAGCCACTATATTTGCTAGGTGTTTTAGAGGTATCTTTAGAGGAGCTTCCTCAAATATTTCAAACAATAGATTCACCATTCAATAGACGAAGCAAAATCTTGAGTAGCACGTAGGGCACTCTTTGACAAAGTTAGCCGGTAGAGCTTCTTTTCTTTCCTAAAGAAAATGTTTATGACAAGGTTAGCAACAATTTGACAAAGTTAGCGGATAGAGCTTCTTTTCTTTCCTAAAGAAAATGTTTATGATGCTGACAAAGTTCCACGTAAAGTAGTTTGCCCTCCGCATCATCCACCGAAGGGGCACTTGACCATTAAGTATATGTTTCCATCTTGATAAATACTATAGCAATGCCAGCGCAGGAGAGAGATTGGAAAATGGGAAGAGACGTTGGCCATTTGATTCCAAACGCACTCGTAATCAATGTTTTAAAAACCGGACCGTTAATTAAACCGGTGAAGTGAAAGAGTCGAGATTCAACCGGTCGGACCGGTTCAACCTTGATTCAATGAATTTTTTAAAAAATAATTTATATAAATATATATATGCACAAAATAAGACATGTAATGGACTAATTTAATACTTTACATGATGAAAAGTTTACTATTTTTGAATAACTTGGATTTTTAAAAATAAATTATTTATTTTTTAATTATAAGTTAAAACAAATAAATTTCATCTCAATTTCAATTATATCTACCAAAAAATCTTAAATCCAACCCAAAAATATCACAATATTTTGAAATTATACAAAATTCGCGTCTATGAGAATTTAGACATTGTGAACTTAAATTTTAATTTACGTTTTGGAATTTAGAGATTGCAATTTAAAAAAGAAAGTTTGGAGTTCGAAAGAAGTCAAAAGAATCGAAAATAAAAATGCAAACTTGATAAGAAACAAAAAATGAGATAAAAGTAAGTGGTTGTGGCAATAAATAACTTGGGTTAAAAAAAATAATTCTTTTTTAACTTTTTTAATTTAATGGACAAAAATAAAATTAAAAGATGTAAGAAAACATCAATAAATTAAAATAAAGATGTTTGATTGAAAAGGGAATGACAAAAGAAAAGAGGATAGAGAGAGAGAGAGAGAGAGTTGAAAATTAAAAAGAAAGAGCCATGAGAGGATGAGATTTTGTAAGAAAAATGGAAAAAAGAAATATGAGTGTTTGTTTTATAAAAATAAGTTATAAAAAAAATTAATAAGATGTGATAGTGCAACGGTTACTATATTGGTCTTCTATTACAAAGGTCATGAGTTCAAATCTTGAAAGCTACATTTTGCAAAACGTAAAAAAAAAAAAAAAAAAAAAAAGAGGAAAACTCGAAAATCGGAAAAAACCGGTACAATCAAAACATTGCTCGTAATGTAATTGAGTATTGGGGTGGAAATGTTCAAGGTTTCGGAATCAAGGAATTGACTATTGACTTTTCCATATGATTTCACTTGGAAATTTCTTGCATTCATACTTTGGGCCGGTTGGTAAGTAAGTTTTTGTTCAAGTTTATCTATTAAAAATTTTTTAACAACTTTAAACTACAGTAATTTCAAAAAAATTCTCAAAATTGTTAAACTATACATTTCAAAATATCTAAAAATTTACATACTTTAAAATTTTTTCCTACAACTTCTATAGTAAGTTATAGTAAAATCTTAAACAAACACTCAAAAAACTCATTTACCAAACAGGGCTTTTGTTCCAGCATACGAAAGGATGTTGATAGCAAATGATGTCAAAAATGACAGAAAAGGAAAAGGAAAAGGAAAAGGAAAAGTTAGTTGTAGTAGAATTCAGAATACAAATTAATCCACAATGTCTTTTTTATTAGCACTACAAATTTGTTAGAGTTAAATGAAGTTCTATTTGCAAAAAATTAATAAATGAATAAATGAAGGTTGTTGAATTGAATAAGAAAGCAAGAGTACATGGAACTAAAAAGATGCAAGAAAAGATTAAGGCGAAAACTACGTTATTTACTTATAAAATAATAGATCTATTTGCGTGCGAGTGAGAGAGAGAGAGAAATGAGAATGATAGAAAAAAGAGTGAAAGACCCTAACTAAAAACACTTAATTAGAGGGAAAAAGAGGAGTAATTAACCCATAATGGATCTAGGAAAATCAATCAACATGTATAAAGTTGATTGATTGAGGATAATTTTGACATTTAAGTAAAATACACTCGGGAAGAAAGATAATTGCTCCAGGCTCCGGCAACATCATTTGCCCTACAGTGACATGCAGCTGGTGATACATATATTCGGTGTATTCTATTGGAAAGAATAATTCTAGCTTTAGTCATCCAGAATGATTTACATAGTTTGGTTTGGTGCAATCTATAAATTAATCTTGTGCAGAATCCTAAAAGGTCTTAAACCCTTCAACTTACTTCAATTGTAGCAATTTAAAATCCTTCAACTTACTTCAATTGTGGCAATTTTTTTGTGAAACTTAAAATAAAATTGAATGAGTCACAAATTACAATTTGACTACAAAATTCATTAGAACGAAAGTACAAGGCAATTATTTTTGCTAGAACAATAATAAACTCAAAAATTTTTAAGCTTCTTCCATGGATTGAAACCCAAAAGAGGAAAAGAAAGGGAAAAGAGGTTGAGTTTTGCTGGCATAGAATGATAGGAAGGCTATCTTTTGGTTACAAATTGGAAGGCTATTTCAAACAAAATATATTACATCTGTTCTACCTGTTAAAACTTTACAGCTTTCAAAGGTTCATTACGTCTCAATTCTTTTTATGTGATTTTTATGTCCCAATTCTCTCTTTGTGGTATGGTTTTGGGCAGTGGACCTTTGCCAAAAACAAATTTAATCCCTTTTACTGGAAAATGATCCAATTTTGCTCTCCCTTACATTTTCAGCAAAACTAAATCGAACATTCACTTAACCACTATAGGCTTTGTAGTATTTAACCCTAAATACTTTATAATTTTTCACCGTCGATGACAAAAAAAGACTTACCTTATAATCTTTATTTTTTATAAAGTTGATTGTTGTCTCTTGCATGAATCGTGTTTAACTACTAGTTGAACTACTTGTTAAAAGTACTTGCTAGAGATATCATGAAATGTTATATGCTATGTGATTGCGTGAAATACCACAAGTACAAGTGTTGCAATGTCGATTGGAGCGTGGTCTTGTCGACTAAATAAACCAAACGGATGCACGTATCACGCTCTATTAGAGTGGGAGGTACCTCTCTGCCGTCTTGGTAAAAGTGTTTGCAAAATTCGTGTTGGAGTCGGGCCCGAAAATAAGGGGGAAGTTGTTGCTAGGAGACGTGTAGATTAGGGAAAATGTCTACATGGAGATTAGGTAGTGAAAGTTGACGGAGTGTCAACTACTATAAATTACCTGATCGAGCGCGAGGACTTTGGCTCCTGAGAGCCCCGTATCCTTTTCTTGTCATGTTATTTCGTTTTCCTAAATTGTTGATTGCTTACTTGTCCATTTGTACTTGTTAAATTGCCCTATGTGAATTGCATGTTTCGAGGCACCACTGAGTTATTGGCTCATCCCTTCCAATTTGTTTTTCCTTGACAGGTTCTGAAATGCATGAAGTCTTGGAGAACTAGAAAAGAAATGTTATATTTTGAATGCCCACTTTTGTAATTGTACTTTGGGAGATACTTTAATATCTTTTGGATGATTTTTTTTTGTGCCTTTGGGGAAAATGTGAATCCTGTGGTGCTTCTGTGCCCTGGATTAGGAATTTTAAATTGTAAATTAAGTTGAATTTAAGTATTTTAAGTTCGACATTTTCCTTGATGCTTGAAATTGTACTTTTGGACAGAGTAAGTTGAATGGTACAATTTGTTTAAGTACTTGGCTTATGCGAGAAGTAAAGTTTATTTACGAATTATATTTGATGATGTTAGATGATTGAGTGAGTGAGTTCCGGCGAGAGTTGGGCAGGCGACTCGCCGAACCCTCTGGTTCGCCTTAGGGGAGGTGGGGCCGCCACAGCTAGCCCCACGGTTAGTCGTTTCTTGCAAGATCTTTTCAGTGGACAATCACTTTTCAAATTCGAATTCAATCTACAAATGGTGGCATCAGACCAAGTTAAGCAAAATAGCTTGGTTTAGTTGCTCTTTGAAATAGGCAGTAAGGTGGTCTGCCTCTGCATTCCTTATACAATTGCTATCATGTAGCTCAAGGAAGATGCTGTATAGCAAATTATCTTCTAACATGCAGGCCTAGATCAGAAAATGAGAGATGTTATTAAAGTTAAAAAAATTCTAATCAGGTCAACCAATCATTCTATATTGCAATCAGCAAAGTAGAAGATGGCATTGTAACGGACAAAAATAATGTATAATCTATTAATTCATGCAAAGACTAGGCAATCAAATGCATATCCCGTAAACATTACAACAAGACGTAAATGTATAACTGATTTTTTTTTTCACCTTAAGACTAGTATGCTATTAACTCTTCCAACTGCATAATACAATATGCTAACGGAATTTAGTAAACTAATAAACTTTTCAACCTTAAGACTAGTATGCTATACCGGAGGCGCTAAGCAAGAGCTTTCTTTAGTGATCCTGAAAATATATATGATTTTGCTAGTAGATATAAACCAATCTCTAATTAACAGTCACTTTTCGAATTCTATTCTCAATCTATAGACAGTGGCATCAGACTAGGCTCCATTTGCAGCATACATGCTTGACATAATGTGTACTTTACAACCTTGTCCAGCCCAAAAGTGAAAAGCTTAGTTAGGAGAAAGACACATAGGGAAAGAAAGAAGGTTAGCATGATTAGAAACAAGTTATAAACAAATAATCCAGGTAAGCTATATATTAACGCCATCAATATCCCAATCTACGAAATCTAAGGCAGCTTAGTTATGAGAAAGACACATAGGGAAAGAAAGAACGTTAGCATGATTAGAAGCAAAAGTTATAAACAAATAATCCAAGTCAGCTAAATATTAACATCATCAATATCCCAATCTATCTCTGTCCATCTCAAGCTCTCTCAAATCTCTACCAAAAGTGCTCATCACTTGCTTGTTCATCCTAAAATAATGCAATTCTGATACAGATGGCAGATGCATAGCTGCGGAGCCACCCTTTAGTATATTATCAGAGTAAAGAAGGACTACAATTTAGCTTTCATGTTTCTCTGAATTAGTTATAATGATCAATATTTACACATCCAAATTATTGGTTGGTGCTATGGCTAATGTAGAAGCAACATTCTTATAACAAAAACTACAAACAAATATGAGTCAAATGGGCAACGATTAGAATAACAACGAAATTCAAGTTTTTTTTATACCGGAATTCAAGTTAATAGAACATAACAATGTAAAAGAACTTCATCTAGGAATCCAACTTCCTCATTCCTTGTACTCCAACCATAAATTTATGACTTCCCATCAAAATTATTTAGGATATATAGTTACTAGTTGACATCAAGAAACCCAATCAACGATGGCTCATGCTTATGGAAATAAAGACCATGATGCAAACATCTAGACATTTTACATGGGATGATAAACCAACCAGGCAATTAATTAATATTTAAATTAATGCCACAAGCATACCATTTCACTTTCAAAGGAAGGCAAAAAAATACAAATATTTGAGCACAAGATATAGAGCGTCAAAGATAAGAAAGTACGCTCTAATCAATGAGGCCAATAATGGAGAATCTACATACAAGGGATGCTTCCAACGTGTAATGCTGAGAAAACTAAGCATGCGTAAATGAGAGTAGATGTTCAATGGTAGCAAAAGGTGGAGAAGAAAGATGAGTAAGAGGAGAGACGAGGAGTCGGCAATGGGAATATAGGTGGAGGCAGAGGAGGGAATATGGGAGGAGGCAGAGGAGGAAGATGTGGAGGAGAAAGAGGCAGAGAAATGGTGGTAGGTCTGTGCTAAGAGAGAGAGGACTTATATTTTTTTGTCTCACTCTTCATTGATTATATAGAGACCCGTTTTACTAATTTCATCTAGAATCCATGTACAAACCCAATTAGGGGTGAATTGTGGAATTAGAATTGTAATTCTCAGATCTTACTAAAGAATTGAATCTGTAGAATTAAAGACCCAGAAAATTCGAATTAAATTCTAATTCTCTAGCACTGATAGTGTCCAAACTGCACATTTGGAATTGGGTTCCAATTCCAATTCTAAGTCTCCAGAGAGAACCAAACACACCTTATAAGTGTTTTTCACTTGATTGACTTATAATCAATGTAAGGTGCACCATTTAGTTGGGCTATTTACCCAGTTTGCCAGTCAACTTACAAGCAAGAATCCAATCATGCTAGTATGGCTAAGGTTAATATTAATTGAATTGGACATGATTCCCAAGGTGAATTTGAGTTAATAACTAGTGTTGTGAGATCCGTCACATAGGACAAAAGGAAAAGATGAGTAGTTTCAATTTGAACTCCCAACTCTGCTTAAGAGTTATTAGACCAGTCCAAATCCAATCTACTTGCAAACAATAATCCAATCATGATTCCCAAAGCAAGCTTAAGTTCAATTAATAACGACCATTGTGAGATCCGTCCCACATAGTGTGGCGGCTCCACTTCTCCCTAAGGCGAACCAAAGGGTTGGCGGGTCGCCTGCCTAGTTCTCGCTAGGACTCACGCACTCTAGTAACTAATTTCACCCAAACATAAATCGAAAATAAACCTTACTTCTCGAGCAAGTCACGTACTTAAATAATTCATACAATTCAACTTATACAGCCCAAAACACAATTCCAAGTACCAACGAAAACATCGAGCTTAGTATACTTAAATTCAACTTAATTTACAATTTAAAGTTCCTAATCCAGGGCACAGAAGCACCACAGGATTCACATTCTCCAAAAACACAAAAATCATCCAAAAGATACTAACGTTTCCAAAAGTACAATTACAAAAGTGGGCATTCAAAATATAACATTTCTGTTCTAGTTCTCCAAGACTTCATGCATTTCAGAACCTGTCAAGGAAAACAATTTGGAAGGGATGAGCCAATAGCTCAGTGGTGCCTCGAAACATGCAATTCACATAAGGCAATTTAACAAGTACAAATAGACAAGTAAGCACTTAACAATTTAAGAAAGCGAAATAACATGACAAGAAAAGGATACGGGGCTCTCAGGAGCCAAAGTCCACGCACTTGATCAGAAAATTTATAGTAGTTGACACTCCGTCAACTTTCACTACCTAAACTCCATGTAGACATTTTCCCTAATCTACACATCTCCTAGCAACGTCTTCCCCCTTATTTTCGGGCCCGACTCCAACACGAATATTGCAAGCACTTTTACCAAGACGGCAGAGAGGTACCTCCCACTCTAATAGAGCGTGGTACGTGCATCCGTTTGGTTTATTTAGTCGACGAGACCACGCTCCAATCGACATTGCAACACTTGTACTTGTGGCATTTCACGCAATCACATAGCATATAACATTTCATGATATCTCTAGCAAGTACTTTTAACAAGTAGTTCAACTAGCAGTTAAACACGATTCATGCAAGAGACACTCACCTCAAGTGAAGTGTCTAGAATTCCAAACTTTGATCGAGATTGTGCTCTTCACCAACTCCTAAAATCATACAAATAATTCACATAAATTTCCACTTTTGAGTTGGCGAATTTAACTCGAGTCAACTAGCATTTAATTTCACTCAAAAATCCCAAACTAGTATTAATCGTTTTCTCAAAGTGAAATCCACAAATCGAGTGAAATTAAATTTTGAGGTTTCTTTAAAACCCAAAAACTTGCTAAATTCGTCAAATATTCCAACATCCAAGTTCTAGAATCATATAAGCCATTTAACACCAATTTGGTGTCACAAGTTGAGAAAAATCACATTTAAACCATTTAGAGGAATTTTCCCCTCAAATTTTTCCCAAACATATCTTGGGAAATTCCTTTAAGAGGCAATCATATAAACCAAGTAAAACTAGTCGTTAGAATTTCTATAAAATAGAAACTCCTTAAGTTTGCCAAATTCCACGACCAACTTAGTCCAATGATTTTCATGAAGGCAAAAACTTGAGTTTTTAGGAAAATTTCCAGATTTGACAAATTCCTCAAAATAGGGCATTTGGTCTAATAAAATTCAAGGTTATCAACTCAAAGTGGACCTAGTAACAACGGTTAATGCTAGAAAACATTTTCGGGACAACTTTGGTCCACATTTACCCACAATGAAATCCAAACATCAAACCATTTCTAATTTCAAACAAAAATTCTGTTTTGGTATCTTCTTGAAGAATAAGATTTTGGTCCACTTTTTGGACGTAACCTCTACTAGATTTTTGTCCCAAATTGAGCTATACAAACCCCTTAATTAATACACAAATCATTTGAGCTCAAGTTATCGTGAAAACAGTTCACAATTATCATTCAAAGCTGGAAAAATTTCAGGTGCATTCGGTAGCAAGTAGTCCATTTCCCCTTCAATTTATCCAAAATTTTTCAACTACCCAAAAGCTACATTTTCACCCAAACAATACTACCCATATAGGTTAACATGTATACAGCCCAAGTAGTTCAAAAATTTGTCAAAATTGACCCCCAAAATTCGACTAAAATCTGGAAAATTTCCAGAATTTTTTGGACAGCATATACCTTCCTTTTCCTTCAATTCCTCAACATCATTTCAACTACGAAAGTGGTGCATTTTCCCTCAAATGACCATAGACATTCAGCTTAACATTTACACAATCCATGAAGCTCAATTTCTTGTCAAGAATCAGATCAAAAACTCGAACACAAACTGGGAAAATTTGGACAGTTTGGTTCAACAGCAGAGCAGTTTTCGTATTTTGGTCACATCTCATTCAATTCAACTTAGATTTGAGCATGGTTGGTAGCGTTGGAAACTACACTCATAGGGATACAATTTTTCAGAAGAAATCGTTTTAAAATTCTACTCATAACTAGCTCGAAATCTGGCAACAAAACGCAGCTCATATCCTGGCTTCCAGTGAACCAGTGGAGCAGGACAGGTGACTTTAAAAGACTGCCACGGTTCACTCAGGTGGAACCAGGACGTGAATTTTACACCGTTGGAAAGCTGGAAGAGTCTAGTTTCTAATGGCGCTAACGGCACTCAATTTCGATGTCGGAGGGCAGAGTTATGATCGAAACAAAATGGCTGCCTGAGCCATACGGGAAAAATTTCCAGATTTTGCTGGTTTTGGAATTCATCACCTTTGGTCAACCAAACCTCAATATCTTTCAATGAAACTTTACACACAACTCCAACAACACATAAACATCAAATACAAGCCGTTAAAACCTCAGAATTTCGCATGAAAAAGGTCGGTCTTGGCAGGGGCAGAATCGGAACTTTTTGCTTCAAGAGCTCAATGAAGTTTCTAGCAATAATGCACCTTTAATCTACTTCCTTAAGCACTAATTCAACAATAAAACCATCATCAAACATCATCACAGCCATCAACTCAAAGTGGGAGTTCATAGAGCCCACATTTAACAATTTCCAACAATAATAAGCTACCCATAAGCATAATCAAGCTCTTAAGTGTGAGTTGGCCTTCATTGAACAAGAATTGAAGAGTGGATCATGGTTACCTTACTTGTGTGCTAAAAGGTCAGATTTTGGTGTCCCAAAAGCCCCAAGAAAATCCGTGAATGTGCAGCTCCTTCTTTGTCCAAGTGATTGTCCAAGTTGTCTTGAGCTTGTGTGGTGAATTTGGTGTGAATTGGAGCAAGAAAATGGTGGAGGAAAAATTGTGAAATTTGGAGTGTGAGAGAGAGTAGAGACCGGCGGTTATGGTGAGGGGAAAGGGAGGGAAAAATCTGAAATGGAAAGCTTCCTTGAGAAGCTTGAGTGTGGTACAACTTTTGTGCTCCCAAGTCAACCGTGAACAGTGTATCGCGCGCGCGTTCGTTTCGCGCCCGTTTCCTCTGAGGTTTGTTTTAACTGTGCACTAAACCTCTAATGCACATATATTCATGTAATTATCATTCACTCTTAATGACCTCAAAATAAGGTTCTAAAGTCCTTCAAATAAATCGCGCGCGTAAAACGCGTATTTCCCACTTATGCGCGATAAGGTGAAATTTTTGAGAAATTCTTATAACGATGGCATTTCTAACTAATACATGGATATTTAGGCATAAAAATACCTATTTTAAGACTAGGGTATAAATCTCCCATTATTCGGGCTCATGAACTCTCAAGTCAGTTACTATTCCTGAGCCTACGGGCACTATTCACACTTAACAACTTTCAAGACTTGAATTGCGAACTAATTGCCTTAAAATTACTCATGAGCTATAATGCTATAGAATTGGGTCCAATAGGGCTAGAAAATAATATTCGAAATAATTGAACAATTAACTAATTAAATAACCTCAGAATGGGAATTTAAAAGAAATAAATTGCGAGTCCTCACATTCCTCATCTAACATTTCTCCAACTTAATTATACCTTTTTATAGCCTCTACATATACTACATTTCAACTTAGGACTAATTCGCGCGTCGGTGCGCGAAAATTCAACTTAGGGCTTTGCCGAACGCGAACCGTCAATTAAATCTTAAAAATTCAAATAAATTGAAATGTAACATTTGAATGATTGAAAACAATATTATTTAAATATAAATACATATTATTGGATAATTTTAATATTTTCAATAATATTTTGATTTAATTTTCCAGAGGATAATGAAATTTTTGAGGTCCTCACACATAGGATGAAAATAAAGGATGAGTAGTTTGGGCTTAAACTCGTGACTTCGCTTAAGAGTCATTAGACCAGTCCAATTCCAATCAACTTACAAGCAAGAATCCAGTCATGCTAGTATGACTAGGGTCAAAATTAATTGAATTGGACATGATTCCCAAAGCAAGCTAAAGTTGAATTAATAACTAACATTGTGAGATCCATCCCACATAGGACAAGGATGAGTAGTTTGGCCTTGACCTCGTTACTCCGCTCAAGAGTCATTATTAGACCAGTCCAAATCTCTCATCAGAGCAAATCTCATTTGGTCTGGTCATATGCAACATCAAGTAAAGGTTTGGAGAATGATATTAAAGATGCTTTTGATGCTGTGGAAAGAGCATCGAGTAAAGGTTTGGGGAATGACGTTAAAGATGTTTTTGATTCTATGGAAAGAGCGTTGAGAAGAATCTATTAGGAAATTGGCTTAATTTTCTTTTAGGTAGAATTCTTATTTGGTGTGGAAAGTAACTAGTTTCCTACTGAGATTTTAGTTACTTGAAATAGTAGTCAAGTAAAGTCCTATTTGGTTTAGAATTAGATGTTATTTCCTATTCTATATGAGTTTAGGAATTAGTATTGGTTTCTAATTGTTATTTGGTTTTTTGGCCAAGTAATGTTCTCTATAAATAGGTAGATTGGCATACTACAAACACACAAGAAAGGAGTGAGAGAGTTCTTAGTGGGTGAGAGTGTTATACAAGAGTTGGGGCTTGAGAATCAAGTTGTAATCTTGTAGTGTTTTTCTCTCATAGTAAGAACAAGTTTTTCTCTCCGTGGACGTAGGCTTGGTGATTAAGCCGAACCACGTTAATTCTTGTGTGTTGTTCATCATTCGTGTTAAATATTGTTTTCTATTAAATTGTTGGTTTTTTCCTTTTTTCAAATAATTGGCCTGATACCCTAACAAGTGGTATCAGAGCTCCGTTGGGGTTTTGGTTAATTATTTAAAATTGAGTGGGTGGTGGTATACCATGGGGTTTGGAACTATACAGTTTCCAATTCAACCGTTTAATGGAACTACAAGTTTTACTCTTTGGCAAAGAAGAGTGAAGGATGTTCTAGTTCAACAAGGTTTGGCAAAAGCGTTGAATGGAAAGAACAAGAAGCCAGAGAGCATGAATGATGATGAGTTTGAGGAGTTGGACGCAAGGTGTGCGAGCACGATTCGGCTCTATGTGGCGGACAACATCATAAATAATGTGATAGATGAGGAAGATTCTGCAGCAGACCTCTGGGAAAAATTGGAAAAGCTTTATCTAGCTAAAAGCTTATCCAATAAGTTGCATCTAAAGCGGCAACTTTATGCACTAAAGATGGTGGAGGGTGGCAGTCTCATGGATCACATGAATACGTTCAACGGAATTTTGGATCAACTCCAAAAGGTTGGTGTAGATATTGAGGAAGAAGATAAGACCCTTTTACTTCTTACCTCAGTCTCTGATTCTTACGAAAGTGTCGTGACGACCCTGTTATATGAGAAGGACACTTTAGAGTTCGAGAATGTGCAGTCTTCTTTGTTGGATCATGAAAAACAAAGGAAGGCAAACCAAGATGTGACACAAGAAGCTGCTTTAATTGCTCGAGGTGAGAATAAAAGAGGAAAACAATTTGGCGGTGAATCTAAGGCAGGTGGTTCAAAGGCCAAGAGAAAGGGTGGAATCCAGTGCTTTGGTTGTCATGAGTTTGGCCATATCAAAAAATATTGCCCTCATCGAAAGGAAAATGATGAGAATGACTATGATAATGTTGCTGGATATGCATCGGGTGGAGATATTCTCACAATCTCCAAAGGTAATAATACTTCTTCTCGTGATGGTTGGATTTTAGATTCTGGATATGTTTCACATGTTTGCTCCAGGTTAGACTATTTTGATACTCTCCAAAGAAAGAAGGCAGGTTTTATGTGCTTGGGTAATGGATCTACTTGTCAAGTCAAAGGTGTTGGAGTGGTGAAAATCAAAATGTTGAATGGAGAGATTCGTTCTTTGGGTGGTGTGGCTTATGTCCCAAAGCTACGAAGGAATCTAATTTCTTTGAGCCAATTAGACTCCGAGGGTTACCATTTTTCCGCTGCAGGTGGAGTCTTGAAAATCACACATGGCGAGACGGTCTTGTTGATGGGGAAGAAGTATGGTAATCTATACCATTTGAATACCTTAATGGATTGGGAGCGGAAGGGGATCCAAGAATGCTCTCAAATTACAAATGGTGGTGAGAGGAAAAATCCTGCTATGGGAGAGGGTGAATTGAGGCCCCTCTCGCGAGTCAACTAGATGTTGGACTCGGTTAGCTATACACGTTCATATGTCGATTGAATCAATTGAAAACAAGACTGTATTGATTCGGTGTGTAGCTAAGCACCAAGGTACTTGGTGGGAAAAGGCAAATGGAGTTTTTTTGGATGGTTTGCTGTGTTTGCTAAAAGAAATTTTCGCCAAGGTGGAGATTTGTTAGGAAATTGGCTTAATTTTCTTTTAGGTAGAATTCTTATTTGGTGTGGAAAGTAACTAGTTTCCTACTTAGATTTTAGTTACTTGAAGTAGTAGTCAAGTAAAGTTCTATTTGGTTTAGAATTAGATGTTATTTCCTATTCTATATGAGTTTAGGAATTAGTATTGGTTTCTAATTGTTATTTGGTTTTTTGGCCAAGTAATGTTCTCTATAAATAGGTAGATTGGCATACTACAAACACGCAAGAAAGGAGTGAGAGAGTTCTTAGTGGGTGAGAGTGTTATACAAGAGTTGGGGCTTGGGAATCAAGTTGTAATCTTGTGGTGTTTTTCTCTCATAGTAAGAACAAGTTTTTCTCTCCGTGGACGTAGGCTTGGTGATTAAGCCGAACCACGTTAATTCTTGTGTGTTGTTCATCATTCGTGTTAAATATTGTTTTCTATTAAATTGTTGGTTTTTTCCTTTTTTCAAATAATTGGCCTGATACCCTAACAGAATCCAGCATCAGAATTTTTGAGAAATTTAGTTCAATTCATTTCAGATAGTTGATGGATTTTTTAGGCTACAATTTACAATTTACAGGGATAGTTATGATGTAGTAATTAGTACTTTCGATTTTCAATTCATTCATTGGCTTTGTTTTTTTGGGCTTAGATATTGTATAGGACACTAGGTAGGCATATTTCTTTTTCTCTTCCAAATAAATATGTTTTAATTTAATTACCTTCATAGAAGAGTTGCGGAAGGAAATATAATATGAATCTCTGATTGAGAAAAGTTGGAATAGTCTTGGAAAGATTTAGCATTTTTTTTAGTTAGTTTCTTTATTTTTTTTGAGATATCAATTGTGTTAAAATAATATCTTACTACAATTTGAATGCCCTTTGGAGTAGAGCTAATTAATTTAATTCTTTTTGTTATATCTTTTTTCCAAGGACTTTAGATTCTATTTCTGCCATTTTCAGTTGGGAGATTATTTAGCTCTCAATATAAAATAAAATAGGCAGTGGGCTTCACTTCTACAATTCTCCATGGCGGATAAATATGATTTGAATTGAGAACAGGATGAGTAACAAGGTACTAACGATTTTAGGTAGCGTGATTGTAACAAGGTACACCCAGTCGATGTCAATGGTAGGTAGAAAATCTGCATCATCCTTGAACATATCCCTTGTGACAAGTTAAGGAGCTAAAAACAAAACGAGGGAGATTAAATTAACCATAAGGTTGCTTTTGATACTTGATGGAAAAAGACATGAGCCGGCTAATTTGACATACTTGAGGAAGCTGCTGTGGACTTACGGGGAAAGCCAATTAGTACACAATAGTACACCATTTTTTAGAGATGGAAATCTGCAAGTGGTGGAGTTCGGTGAGACTTTGCGTTGTAATTGTGGGTTCCAGGCATCAAAATAATGCAACATAGATTATTCAAGAATATATAAAGTTGATTGGTAAGAAAACATTTTATACAACTGCAGGAGAAGATGACAATGTGGTGCAGCTAGCATAAGGTATGCAGCAATCGTAGTTTAGTGCAGATTAGGTGTCAGATGTGAAAGTAATTTAGTGCTTTCTGGGCTCATTCCAATATGATTATGGTTACATGCCAGTAACGGAGCATGTGTTTTGCACGTGACCACGAGATTTTTTATTTGGATAAAATATAGAAAAGCCCCTTAAGGTTAAGTGAATATACAAAAAAGTCACCTATAGTTTTAAAATATACATTCCGGTACCTTATGGTTTGAACTAATTTAAAAAAGCAATGAAAATCATCAGAATTAATGGGTTTGAAATACACGCTTCTTTTACGAGTATTTGTCTCAGAAATAAATAAATTTTAGCTGATGTACCTATTATACCTTAGAGTTGTTATACAGAAAAACCCCATGCAGTTAAGCAAATCTATAGAAAAAGTCCTTATAATTTCAAATCATACAACCCAGTATCTCATTTTGAACTAGTATGAAAAATCGACAAAATCATTTAAATTAAAGAGTTTGAGGTTTCTTGGCATGGAAAATAATTTTTTAAATCAAATTTTTTAGCTAATATACCTATTAAACCCCTTAGAACTCATAAAATTTTCAAAAACAATCCAAAACTCCCAAATACGACTCACCTTATTTCTATACATAAAATAAATAAAAAAGTTTCCCAATAAAACTCACCTTGTTTTTATACACAAAATAAATAAATAAAAACTTTCAAATACAACTTACCTTATTCCTATGCACAAAATAAATAAATAAAAGCAAAATATAACCATAGAGTGCTTTTCCGTAGGTTGGCTTAATTAGAAGGGTTTTTTCCATAAGTTTGCTTAATAGGATAGTTGTTAGAAGGTCTTTCATTACTTATATATATTAGGCAACTCACTTGCATCAACCCAACAAAGAATATCACCCAAATTACATTGTTTAAGATATTTGTCTACTGCTAAAACCCAACCAAAAAATATATATGTCTCTTTGTGCTTATAGGAGTCAATATGGCAAAATTGTGACCATCAATCAAATATCCTTCTAATATTCTGTCATTATTTAACAATTCATATACATGAATAAATTTTTCTCTCTCTTCTGTCAAGTTTTTCTGGCCTTCTTGGTTGATTGACCAATCAAATCCTTCAATCTGACAACCCGTAGCAATCAACAAATTTGACAAGATTCCTCTCCGATATCTATTTTCACACTCGCAACAATCTAACAATTTTCAGGCCAATCTTATGATCAAATCCTTCACCAACTACACATTTCATAGCTAAATTTGTGGTCTAATTCCATTAACTAAATACTTTTTGACAACTTTATGTCCTAATTCTCTGATAGTAGAAATGCCCAAGACTAACCTCATAATCTAGCTCTAATACCAATTGTAGAACCCAAAATTTTAAGATTCTAATAATAATCAATATGTGCAAGGTTACAGAATTGAAGGGATAAAACAAACACTCAAAATATATGTGGGAGAGAAGAAAATAATCAACTCACAATATTATTGAAATTTCAAACAATGAAGAAAGTTACCCCATAATAGAAAATGTGACAAACTCTACTAGATTCTCTCTAGAAACACCCTAAATAATGTCCTATTTATAATCTACCAGATTTGTTTGGAAAGAAACCACTTGCATAAGAAATTACCAAATAAAACATAAATTCCTAAATTGCACAACTATTAAAACCTAACTCCAATAAAACTAATAAATAAACACTTTTAGATTTGGTTTAGTTTGCCAACACTTTTCTTCGTTAGAAATTCCCAAACAAGTTGACGATAAAAATGTTAGGAAGAATTAAGGACATAGGAAAAATTGAAGAAATTAAGACTCTGCAAATTCAATACGTGGAAATCCATAGAAAAAATTTTTGGAAGATGCACAACCATTAGTAAACCAAAGAAATTTTTTTGTGATTTTGTGTTACAATCTTATAATTTACAGAGAGAGTTGCAGTTTTAGTCTCTAATGTTTGGTCTATCTGCTAAATTGGTCAGTGACCCATCTTAAAGTGATAATCCATCTTTTTGAATAAACAATTCAAAAGTGAATTAAAGAATGATTAAAGGTAAAGGGTTGCTGCTTAAGCTTCTCAATCATAGCATGCAGTGAATGGCATTTGAGGTGGGCATAAGGTGTAAACGATTGGCATTTGAGGTGGGCATAAGGTGTAAACTGACGAGGGAAGTTAATGAGGCAAACAAAATTCCCAACCTTTTTCCTTTCTTTTTGCTGGAAAAAAATGCAACAAAATTTTTTTTTTTTAAAAAGGACTGAAATGCATTGTCAAGTTAGAAGTGCAGAAAGTGCACTTCATTTATAAGTTTTGTGGAGCCAAGAATTTCAGAAGAAGATAAGGCCCATGTGCAAAGTTACAAAGAACACAACGGAGAGATACAGAAAATCTTTTCTTAATGATGTTTCCAACTCCTAAAGACCACTCAACAATTAGTGTCCCATTTGTAATTCTTGACAAATGATAAATAATAATACTTTATGGTTTTTCCAATCTGTTCCCCACAAGATAATCCTATCAAGAAAGGGGGTGAGCTGAACATGAAAGCTTAAAATTATCAGACATCGCCTAAATGGTGCATATTTTTGCAGAAAAAAAAAAGAGAATTCGATTTAAATAATTGTTTTCACGGCTTTTCTGAAAACTATTACATTTTAGCACCTTTATTAATAAATAAATTCGTGAGATAAATAGATAGTAGATTAACGTGTTCAAAATTTTATTGTGAAGCATGTTTACGAATACCATGACCTAGACAAATTTCTTGATACTTTAAATGCATGTCATGATGAGGAATAGATTCGTTTATTCCTTGATGCTTTAGTGCATACTTTTTATAATCTTTTCAACATTTGTCCACACGTTGTAAAGTTTTACCGCATTAATATAAATTACTAGTGATATACAGCGGGGATCAAAGAGTCACCGGTGGATAGGGGAAAATAAATCCTACACTTGATATTTTATGAAAAAATAATAATAAAAAGGTAAAACAATTATTAAATATTTAATAAGACTTTCCCACGTCTGTGATTTTGAAAAAGGTAAAATTAATCCAAATTCTTCTAAATGCAAGAAGATTGGAAAATATAATTGTGATTATAAGGACTGGTTAATCAGTTCCCGCGTCTTTGATTTTGAAAAATGTAAAATTAATCCAAATTCTTCTAAATGCAAGAAGATTGGAAAATAATTGTGATTATAAGCATTAAACTTTCTTTGGTAACCGTTTTCGCAACGGACAAGTTTATGCCGTCCATCTGAGCAAATGGATGTCTTTGACTCTGTTCACAAAGTAAGCCGTCAAGAAAACAAGTAGTATATAAACAAGTAGGAGTGGCCCTAAGTAACCAATCTGGTTGTCCGCCTTTGTATCAACCTTCTATTTGCAACCAAATATCCTTTCCAAATCATATAAGTAGTATTCTATCCTCGCAACATTTTATTGCCAATACTCCTTGTACCCAAAAAAAAAAAAAAAAAGAAGCAATGGCTGAATTGTTTGTTCCAAAGATAATAGATGTATTGGGTGATGTGGCCGTGAAGCAGTTTGGGGAGAAGGTCAACCTGGTGATGGGGGTTGAAGAGGAGGTGTCAAATATCTCCTCTAAGTTGACAACCATTGAAAAAGTGCTGCATGATGCAGAGAGACGAAGGCTGAAGGACAGAAGCGTTGGAATTTGGCTAGAAAAGCTTGAGGACACAACATATGAGATGGATGATGTGCTGGACGAATGGAACTTCAAGATTCACAGAGCAAAGAATGAGCGAACTAATCAGAATGCCAGAATGCAGCCTACACTGCGGAACAAGGTTCGTTCCTTTATCCCATCCCTTTGTTCTTGTCTCAAACAAGTTCCTGTGCGTAGTGGTATAGCTCAGAAAATAAAGAAAATAAATGAACGGCTAGAATTAACTTTGAAAGAGGCAGATCAATTCAAGTTTATTACAAGTGGGGGTATTCCTAATTCTCATGATTTTCAACGAATTATGACTACCTCAATCATAGACGAATCAGAGGTTTATGGTCGAGAATCTGATAAGGAAGCCTTACTTAACCAAGTATTATCTGAGAGTAGTAGTCAAGGAAGATATGAGGTTCAAGTTATCTCTGTAGTAGGGGCTGGGGGTAGCGGAAAGACCACACTTGCTCAGCTGCTCTTCAATGATGATAGAGTGAAGAACCATTTTGAACTTAAAAAATGGGTTTGCGTATCAGATCCTTTCGATGAGAAAAGGATCGCCAGAGCAATCCTTGAGAGTCCAGGAAAGAGTTCTGATTTGTCAGAGTTGGACCCACTGCTCCAACTGTTGAAAGAAACTTTTTCCGGTAAGAGATTCCTGCTTGTCCTAGATGATGTCTGGACAGAGGACGACTCAAAGTGGAAGCCTTTCCAACACGCTCTCAAGGACGGGGCTCCTAGAAGTGTAATTTTGGTGACAACAAGGAGTCATAGAGTGGCCACAGTGGTGGGATCGACTGATACTCACGGCCTAGGCATGATCTCTCACTCTGATTGTTGGCTAATAATGCAAAGGATAGCATTTGCTAAACAATCAGGGACTTGTGCAAGAAGGTGGAAAGAATTGGGCAGAAAATTGCAGAAAAGTGCAAGGGTTGCCACTTGCTGCAAAGACTATGGGAAGCTTGTTACGGTTCAAAGATACTGAACAACAGTGGCAGAATGTTTTGGATAGTGAGATATGGCAATTGGAGGAAGCAGCTGTGGACCTTTTCCCTCATTTGTATTTAAGCTAACGAGTTGTCCCCGGAGCTGAAACGTTGCTTCTCATATTGTGCTGTCTTTCCCAAAGATCATGAGATAGATGTAGAAGAAGAGCTTATTAGGCTGTGGATAGCGCAAGGTTATGTTCGCCCAAATCGAAGAGGGGAGCACTTGGAGCTGGTGGGCCTTGAATACTTCAACAATTTGGCAATGCGTTCCTTTTTTCAAGAAATACAAAATGTTGAAGATTACGATGGGTTTCATGAATATCTGAAGTGCAAGATGCATGACATAGTGCATGATTTTGCACAATTTCTCACAAAAAATGAATGTCGTGCACTTGGTGGAGTTGGAAGGAATTCATCGAGTGAAAGAGCCCGTCATCTAACAATTTTGAAAGGCACTGAGGAGGAGATGTTTAGCTCTCGAGTCGTTGATTTTGGAAGGCTCAGGAGCTTTTTAGCTTTTCTATTTGAAAGAGTAGTAGTTCCCCAAAATCTGTTCTGCAGTTTGAAGTGCGCGAGGACTCTGGTTTTATGTAATTGTGAGCTAGTTGAAATCCCAGCCGAAATCGGAAGATTGATTCATCTTCGGCACTTGGACTTAAGTATGAATCCTTTCGTGACACTGCCAGAAGCTATATGTGATCTATATTATTTGGAAACTTTGGATATCAATCATTGTAAAAAGCTTTCGTGCCTTCCTCAAAGGATTAAAGGCCTTGTGCACCTGAGGCACCTTTTCAACCATGTGGCCGATGAATTACGTCAAATTCCACAAGGACTCTGGAAGCTGACGTCACTTTGTAGTTTGACTCGGTTCATTGTCAGGAGCAACTCTGATGATTTGGCAATTTTAAAGGATCTGAACCAACTGGAAAGATTGCACATTGTAATTGAAGGAGAAGTAGATTTTGGGAGTGCGGAGCTCGGAAAGAAAATCAACATACGTAAAATGTCTTTGTTCTTTAGCTTCGAGGCCCACTTTATAGAAACTCCAAGTTGCATTGAAAGCGTGGAACCACCTCCACACTTGGAACGACTTGCACTAATTGGCTATCCAGGAACTCAGTTACCAAGTTGGCTTGTGACGAAATCTCACGCCAATAACTTGACGAAGCTAATTATCGACAGGCCCCGCAATATCTCATCCTTGCTTGCCTTGTGGAAGCTATCATCCCTAGAAAAGCTTATCCTCTACAGAGTGGAAGAGCTGGAATATTTGGGTAAGGAATTCTTCGGAGTTACAAAAGCACTGCATGAGAATAGTCGTGATGCTCTTGACACGTTGTCAAACTCCGAGTCATCATTCTCATCTGAAGCAGTGGCATTTCCGAATTTGAGAAAATTACATTTTCGTCACGTCCTAAATTGGACAAATTGGGAAGACTTAAGTGAAGATGATGAAAAAGTTGCTGTATCTATCATGCCATGCCTGGAGGAGCTAAAAATTTGGAACAGTGAAAAGCTTAAAATGCTGCCACATCGCATCCTCAGAAAGATACCATCTCTCAAAATTTTGGATATTCGACGTTGCTCCAAGTTGAGGGATCGTTATTCTGACAAAACAGGAGATGACTGGATAAAGATATCATACATTCCTCGAGTTCACATATCTGATAAATGTTAATATGCTCAGGTATGGTTATTCACACATTTTTTTATGTATCTACTCATCTTTGAAGTCAAATAATTTACTACTTATAGAATTACAACAAACAAAGGCCTGCTTTGTAGAATATGACATGTGCTTAATAATGAATCAAGTGTTAACAGAGCCATACGTATAATGAAAATATGAAATATTCATTAATAATTTAGAATGGTTTTTTTTATTGAGAAGATGCGAGTCATTAACTAGTAAATATAACACTAAATTTCTAACAATATCTAATCGTAAACTCTTGAGTTTGGAATTCCATTTATGTCTTGTCTTTTTATCCTTTTTTTTTTTGCTTTTGTCCTTTGTTTTCCAGATAATGCTCATTGATGGCTCAAAATGAAGCTACAGCAGAAGGCATTGGGGATCAACCTCTACGTCAACGTTTCACTTGAGTTCATGTAAAATTTCAAATAATTGTAAATATGGTTGAAGAGGCACACCCACTTGCCTTGTTCAAAATCATTTGTTGAAAGCATCTGTAACCTTACCAAATTTCCAGATTGAATTTCAAGTGGTTACACAACTAGTCTTTACTTCGTCAAATTATTATTGTCCTATTGTATGTAAGTTTGTATAGATTTAATAAAGAAGAATGCTTGTACATTGTGCTTATCTATATAGTGTATTATTGACAATCTATTATTAGCATACTTATTTTATGGAATTATTCTAAGAATAACATGAATTCAAATTTTAAATTCAAATAATACACATGTGGCATACATCCAAAACTGTTAGTAATAAAAGAAATCACTACACTGTGAGTGCATAAAAAGTTAATCTTTATTCTAATGGTTAAAAGTTAACAAGTTGACAAATTATTCTTTATCCTGTTTCCTTTCTTTAAAAAAAATGTTTACATAGATAATTGGAGAAACTCGGACTACAAAAATGCATGTGCACTTAAAGGCACCAAAACTCATGATACTTTTATAGTAGTAGTAGCAGTGGTAGTTCTAGTAGTAGTAATGACAATTATTTGTTAATAATACTTTCTTCTAAAAGTGAATGGACTAATTACCTTCCTTTTCACTTTTTTTAAGAAGGGAAGGAATGAGATTTAAGAAACAGGGAGGGAATAAGGTGACTAGAACAAAATATCATAATAAATCTTGACAATTTCATTCAAAAGACAAAAGTTACTACTAGCAGAATTTTGAACTTGAAAGTTTGTAAGACATATCACAGGAAATCAATTATTTGCATACTTCACGTATGTGAACCAGTTTAACAAACTATCCATATTCCAGAATTGAATATATCATCCTTTGTTTATTCACTATTATACGTGTTCAATACTTAGTTGAAAATATGCCCTCCCCATCCCTGCTTCCTAATCATAGCCCTTCCTAATAGAAACAATTTTTAAAAAATAATTGAAAATTTTAGACATGCAATTAGTTATCTTCAAGTTGATTGAAGATAAAATAGATTTTGACACATCAAAGTTCATTGTATTTATATTCAACTCCAACAGTTAGTTATGTTTTAATTCTTTCTATAAAGGCTGTTAAATTTTTTAATCCATAAAACTCACATTTTAACTATGAAATTGGGCAGTCCTAGCCCAATGACTTTCATAATTGAAGTCACATCTCTCAAGTAGACATTACCTGATCAAAAATTCATCTCTGAAGAAGCAAAATTGGTACTTCCTGTTCAGCTTCTAGAAAATCGAAATATGAAAGAATTCCCAAAGAAACAACAGAACCTTGCCCAATGCTACTAGATTGCTACTTAAATTACCACGCTTGACAAGAAACTGGCACTAATTTCACCCACAAGTTTGTTTACAAATTAACAAAAAAATCCCCACAAACATCAAATTAGAAACCAAAGTAGAGCATAAGAGTATAGAAGAAATGTTTATAAGGTTTATAAAAACCGAACAAATACTCCATGTAACCCAATGTTGCAAGGAATCAATCATTACAATTGTTATAGGATGGACCTATTCTGCCTGCTAGTGGCTGTCAAACTTCCAAAAATAAAATTTATATCAAGACCTACTCCCAAAACTGATCGAGTATAGTGTTGAGTAGGGTCATCTTCTCAGGGAACTAGTAGATTTATTACACACAAAGAATTTGAGGGATTTTTGGAAGGGAGATAAAAAGAATAAATTAACAATGTAAGGTTACTGAATTTTCAAACGCAAGAAGTGCAGTAGAATATAATAAACAATTAATTGACACCACGTAGTAAAGGAGATAATATCGGCACCGGCTCACGCAATTGATCATAGATACCTGGAGTAATTCACACGTCGCAAATAATTTGGTTCTAACAATTTAACAATCGCCAAACTACCAATCTCTGCTTAATTATATGGTAGTCTAGAGACGCTCTTAAACTACCCCTTTGTAAAATAAATAACCTAGAGACGCTCGAAGGATTTAATCTATTCACAACTTTAAGAATTAGAGAGACCCAATTCTAGTTAACAAACACACATGCGGGCTCATTTAAACCAATTAGAGAGACCCAACACAGATTAAATTACTTGCGAGGTAATTAAATTGTGCCGTTTATCACTAATTTTAAGACAATCAAGTGATACGCACCCCTGTCCTAATTGGCAGTATACTATTCGGACAATTGAACAACTGGCCACATTAATCCAATAAATCCAAACAATAATAGCCTATTGAAACAAAGAATAATTAAATACCCACGAATGCAGAATTTAGAATAGAGTAGAACACTTAAAAAGATCTCACAATTATCCGTGCACCGGGTCTTGATTATTTCTCAACTAGATAAAAGAATCTAGCCTTACCTCATAACGATGATGCAAACAGAAAGCTTTTTGAAATTTTGTTGATTTGAAAAGAAGTAAAAAGCGGTATAGTCACTAGTCTCTAATTCACGTTAAGAAGGGAAGAAAGAGATCAAAGATCAAAGATAAAAACTCCTAGTCTATTGCTGTCCTCTTTAAAGTGTTTGCGCCGCCACCCCTTTAGCCAATCGAGTCTTTGTTTCTATAAAGGATAGCTTCCCTTATTTTTCTCCTTGACTTGTTGCCAAAAGATTCTCTGAAAATGTCTCCTAATCCAACGCAACTTCAGAACATGTCTCCAAAAAATAGTGGTGGCTTCTAGGATAAGTCCTGCGGTCCGTCTTTTGGATGTAACTCTGTGTTTTCTGATGTGGGCATGCTCTAGAATGAACGGTCTTCTGGAATTTAGTTTCTTTTCACACTTTCGACACCAATCGCTTGCAACTGACACAATACCAATTATGAGCAGAAACCCATTACTTTGCATAATAAGTGGCCAAAATTGAGACCAAATACCATTAAATAAAATGCACAATTATCTCACTATCAAATCCACTCACACCAAGACAATGCTTGTCCTCAAGCATCTCACAGCTCAGAGATACAATTACAGCTACACACACGAAGCAGTTCAGTCATGTGAGCTCAAGTGTCCCATCTTCCTAATAATGTCATCAAATTCAGAAATTTCAAGACTTAACCATCTCTTATAGAATGGAATATGATTACTTCTCACTCCGACATGAAGCACAAAGGGTCACTCTCACTACACAATAAATATGCTTGCTAATATATCACATCGCCACCACTGAAACCAAATATAATGCAAAAATCAAAGGATTTTGATGCGGGTTGTAATGGAGCTCAGGCACAGGTTGGATCAAACAGGTAATTTAGGCTCATTATATCAAAGAAAATACCGTTGACCCACTGCATGAATTCCAATTCCCTTCTTCATTCCAATGATCATTCCAAAGCATACCCATAAATTTTCCCAAAATTAGCAAATACAAGCACAACCAAGGACTTCACCCAATTATCTCAACAGAAACACATATGGACAAAAGCACTTCATACCTCTTTTTTAGTTTTCTTTTCTTTGATTTTTTTTCTTTGTGTGCTCCTTTTCTTCTCTTTCTCCCATCTCTCTCTCTCTTTCTCTTCTTTTTTTCTTGTTTTGTTTTGTTTCAAATACGCCCAACTACATGGGGATATAGACACACTCGCTAACTTCAATCATTCCCATATCTCCAATTCGAAATCATCATGCACTGAAATCAAGGCATTCCTTTGACACTGGATAGAAACAAAGAGGGTTCGAATACAAGGGGTTTGGGGTGACAAAATGAGCTATTAAACAAAGAAAATGTCTAAACTCAACCATGGTCAACTAGGGAAGATCTGATTAGGGTCGGCCTTTAGAAAGCCAAAATTGGTTAACCTGAGTGCCCTTGTCATTTTAATACATCAAATTCAGGAATGTGGTCTTGACATACATAACAGCAAGTTCTAGAACAATTAAATCATATGTGATATCACTCAATGGAAGAAAATAGAGTAGTTATCAATGCAACATTCATTGGCTCGACAGCTCACAACAGGTTAATAGCCAAGTCTTGCAAATTTCATCATTCAATTCCATTGTCAAGAGACAAGACATTTAACCACATAATATCACTGCTCATGCTTGTAGAGTAATTGCATCATCATAAATAGCATCAAGTTCTAGACATTTTCAACTGTAGCAAATGAATTCATCACATACATATTTTTGGATTTTCTTTTTCCTCTGTTCTTTTTCCTATCAAACAAAAAGAGCTAGAACTAAAGAGCTATCAAACAAAAAGAAAAAACTAGGAACTATGCCTCCTCACACCAGAAACCTACATTATCCTCAATGGAGCAAAGAAAAATAGAAATAAAAAAGAGAGGAACTAGAGTTCCCTGAAAGCCAAACGAGTACATGAAAGCACTATGAGGAGGAGAATGAGGCAGCTGAAAGCCAATGTGTGCAAAAAAAGCTACCAGATTTTCTGTCTGAATGGCAGAATGGACCTGTAAGACTGTGAAGCGGTCATCCAGACGCTCAACTCGACCGCCCAACTCATGAATGGAGTCCGGTAGAGTACAGAATTGGGTGTCCCAAGAAGATAGAACCGCGGAGAAGGAAGGACTCGCCTGATCTGCCTCTGAGGTGGGTGTAGTAGAGGGAACTCGAGGTTGGGGCACACCCTCTCCAGAAGGTGTGAACTGATAGGCATCCCTCACCTTGAGAATGACGCCCATCCGTTCTAAACTGCGCAGGTCCAAAGGCTCAAGCTCGCGAGCCATGGTGAGCTTATGCTCATTATCAAGGTCAAGCACTCCCAAGCAGATGGCTAAGTGTGTGATAAGTAAGCCCATACTCAAGGGCTTATAGCGCTTGCGGAGGACGGACTGCAACTGAGAGGCTACCGCAGCTAAAGTTGACCTGCATCTTATTACGCATACACCAGAGGAAATAGAATTCAGTTTTGGCGAGAATGCCGCAGAAATCCTTCCGGCCTGAGAAGTTATAGGCTAGAAATCGGTGAATGACTTTTAGCACTAGATCCTTAAGGAACGAGACCCTAGATTGACTCGGATCGTAGAGTTGAGTGTCCATGGATCACTCCCTCCATATCTCGATATAATTGCTCGCAAAGGGTTGGGTGAAGTCACAAGCACTATTGATATACGTGTCGGAGGAGATGGTGTCCTCACTCACAAACCCAACATCAGGTTGAACTCATTAATGAAATGTGCATGTGGGTACCCCGCAGCCTATACTTGATTACCCCCGGTGAGTCTAAGGCTAGAGAATCAGATTTCTCAAACTG